TTTCTGAATGTCTTTCGAAATGTGGAGGAATCTCGAAGTGCGCGTGCGAAGAAAATGGTCGAGGTGGGCACGAGAGAAGAGGGCGATCGACGCCGACCGCCGTCTAGAATTATTCGAGGATGGTGAGCAAGAGGATGAGGACTGCGTGCGGAAGCGGCACAGACAACGACGTCGTTCCCTTCTACGCAAGATGCTTAGTTCTAGCGGAGCACCTTCTGCGAGGGACGGATTCGGTCACGACGGAGTGCTGCACCATGACCGACTTCGACGCCGTGCTCGCGCGACACGTGCTGTTCCCTTGGACGAGCGAGCATTCGACGGTGATATCGAGGCGCCTGTCGGCACTCTGGAGGTTCGTGGTTGTCGTATGCACCTTACCGGCGTTGCCCATCGGTTGTTGTCCGAACTTCGGATACCGGTGTTTCGTATGCAGGAAGGAGCAGACGGACGAGGAGTGCCACCATCTCATCACGACGATCGCGAACGAAGGAACGGAAGACGAGGAGGATATCTGCCGCGGTGCGCCTCCAGTATTCCCGCGTCTCGACTCTCGCCAGTCGACGAGACCGGAAGTCGACGAGAAGGACGAGTTCGAGATCGCGAGGCGCGTCGACAGGCGTGCGAGATCGGCCGCCGACAAGCTGAGGGTGGAGATCGAAAAGGAGATAAGGTACGCAGAAGCGTGCGTCCGATACGCCTCCCTTCCAAAGACCGTGAGTCTCGGTTGCATAGCGCACGTCGCGAAGCTCGTCTCGTTCGGAAAGCGCAGGCGGCAGTTGGCGTTCGAGGAACGAGAGACGTTCGACCACAGGGATCTGCAAAGGTGGTCCCGAAATCTGCTGGAGTCGATGTTGGCCAATCCGGACAGGCGCGATCAGAGACGGGCCGCGATGGCCTCGTTCTTCCGTTTGGTGGTCGATCCGACATCGGTGGGAACGAGAGCGACAGGGTTGGCACTGTCTCTTATACACATCTAGATGTGTATAAGAGACAGAACGTGCAGCGTCGTGATGGCCAAGTCGGGAGCCAACAACGGCTATCTCTTACTGGGCAACGGAAAGTTGGACGCGATCGAGACGAACGCGTCGTCCTACAAGACGAGCTGCCGCATCGAGATCACCTACGTGGACACCAGTCCGATGGACAACACGAGGGCGCAGCACTACGTCGCCGGGTTGGGATACGTCAGAGGCATGGGATGCACGATCATGAATCTGTCTCTTATACACATCTAGATGTGTATAAGAGACAGGGATATGCCTGATTCGTGCACCAGGAGCGCCGCAACGACCAGCTGACCGGCTCTGTTCTTGCCACTTCGCCGGGGAACCCGAACGACGGTAAACTTCCTGTCGTATTCTTCCAGCTTCCTGACGGCCGCCTGGCGCACGGCGGGATGCCACCTGGCCGGTTCCGTCAGCGACTCGGCCTCCTCCTCGGAGAGGACGCCGAGGATACGCAGCGCCGGAATTCGAAGCTCGGAAGCTCGGTCGCCTAACACCTTGTTGAACCTTCCGGCCATGACCGCGTTGCACATATCCCGCTGGAATGGCTCCAGACGAATGTTGCATTCCTTGCAGAAGAATTCCAGATTGGACTTGACGTTCCGAACGTGTTTTAACGCTTTCTCTTCCGCGCCGACGGTCTCGCCTAAATCCACGCATGCGGAGAGCGGCTTCAAGACTCTCAGCCTGGCTTCTCTGCACATCCTCTCATCGATCCTGTCGCAAATCCTGCGCATCTGCCTTTCGTGAGGAAGCATGGCGTGCATGGCGTATCGGCGAGAGACACGCTACCAAGGATGTTCGACGGTTAAATATTATTGCAAATTCACGTGGGATGGAATATATCTCAATGCGTATAAATGAAATTGTCATGTTAGGAAATAAATCATTCGAAACAAAAACCTTTTCGTTACCAAGTGTCTTTTACTTTTTTTTGTTTATGTAGTAAAAGGGAGAAAAAGAAAAAGAGACACACGGAGAGATGAATAACTTGGACGTACCTCTTCCAGTCTACTGCGCGACGCTATCGTTCGCCTACAACGGATTTGGCATTGTGCTGTTTTTCCGAATTTTGGAAATGTATTTAGGAAAACGATACTCCGACATGTTCACGATTGACACGAGACACGCCATGGTCGACAGCGCCGTCAGTATAATGACGACAGTCGGCGTCGTAATCTTGTCCGCGATGGCCGGAGCTTTGCGGACGTCGGTGGCAGACGATCGCATGGTGGACGAAAGAACGATGGAGACGACGTTCTCGTGTCTGTTGGGCAATTACCTTTTGCTGCTTCTGAGCGGATTGGGAACATCCAGCGCGGTCGTGAGACCGATAAACAGGATCGTGGACGTTTTGTGCTTCACGACGTTCGCTCTGACGTTGAAATTCCCCGATCTGTACGGCGTTGGGATTTTGGTCGCGGTTATGCGAATCGGTTTTCCTTTGGATTACATGTGGACGTTGACCAACGTGAAAAGTCGTGGGTGGAATTTTGCAGGAACGTTCGTCTGCAACTGCGTGCTACCGCTCGTTATGGTAAAATTTGCCATAATCAACGTCCCCGTCGAATTCGGCCCAGATTCCGTTCTTGCGGTGGTGCACTACTGCTTCCTGTCGGCCGTCGGCTTTGGCAACGGGGTGCTGTTGGCGTACGCGATGAAGCGACTCACCGCCGACGCTGACGACGACGACCATCACGATAACGAGAAGAAGAAAACGAAGGAAAAGCAGAGGAAGATCTCCATTATTGTATAAGACCCGATGACGTACGTCATCGAACGTATAAGCATAAAATGTAAATGAAAATATCACTTATTTTAATGAGATAGAAATGGAAAAACGTGTTGAATTCCGTGTCCTGTTGAATAACCAAAAAACATCGTACGTTTCAAGTTGCAGTTTAGATGAACTGACGAAAAACGTCGGCATTCTTTCGCAGCAAGAAGATCTAGGCCTGCCCCGAGAACACGTAATCGAACTGAATCTGGACGCTGTTCTTCCGATCTTCGAAAGAAAGGCGGCAGAAGTTGCTTTGAAATTGGTCGACAATCGCACATTCGACTTGGAGTTTCCCGATTTGAACACTTACGTGTACGTAGCTTCCGTACTTTCGTTTCTTTTGGCCGACGACCTCGTAACGACCAAATTGGATTCCGCCGCTTGGGCTGCATTAAGAGAACGATTGGAATGCTTCGACGTGAAGAAAATAAACGAGTTTGCAGAATTACTTGTACATTCCTACGAATCTTTCAGAATATCCGGCGACCCGTGGTTGAGGTTTCTAGCCATATGCGAACCGTTTCTTTTTGGAAACTTCGCCGCTCCCGTCCTCGACGGATACCGTCCCACCAACCAACGTTATAATCAATTGAATGCGTGGGGGCACAATGAGAACGTGCTGCACATGCAGTTTTTAATGATGGGTTATTACTGTTTTCCGTGCCGGATAACATTGTCCGACTTCATAAACGACCTGCCGACGCCACTGGAATTCGCCGACACGTCGATACCGTTTTTCGATTTCCTGAGAATTTGGAAATTTGTCATCGTCAATTCGGACGAAAAACGTCAACGTCTGTACGCCATGATAACATTTGCTTACATATTCTCTATCGACGACTCAGAGAAACACTTATCACGCCGTCTTCGAATTTACAAAGCCATTGCGACTCGTTCACGTGATAAAAACGTGCAGCACCAAGCATCCCGTAGACAAGAAGAAGACGAGGCAAAGGCACCTGCAAAATCTTTACTTCGCAAACAATTGGTACATAGACGGAGACGATAGGTGCAACACCAGTGTCGAGTACCGCTACGACGCGAACACCGTTCGATTCGACCTGTACGTTTGCCAGCCGGATCAGGCCCGTCTCGGGTTCGTGTTGAACATTGACGACGGTACCGTGGAACCGGCACCGCAGATCGGACTGCAGCTTCGTTCGGGAAAGGACGTATCTCCGGCCAGACTGAAACCGGTGGAATATGGCCAACGACTAGACCTCTATTTAAAACCGTCTGCTACAGCCCGATACATATGATATTTAGATCCCAACTTTCGTTCATTCATTTCTTTACTGAGATTTCAACGAATCAATAAAGTTATTGTGAAAACATAAAATAATTGTATGCGTACATATTATGTGTTTCATCTATCGTTTCATCAACTTTGTCACCATCACCTTCATTATACATTCAATAGCCAAAATTCTTATTTGTTATTTTTACAAAGTTAAAAATAACCAGAAAATACAAAACTATTATGGTTTTTTTTAAATTTTATTTAAATTATTCTTTTTCTACGCCATCGTCATCGGCTTGATGCTGTCGAGAAGGATGGGTAACGTCTTCCGACAGATATTAGCATATGGCGATGCTTACGTCGACGGTAAAAAATGATACGTTGGATAGCGTATGCATTCGTACTTACGACGACCTCCTTCGTCAAAGGATCGCAATGTCCGGACGTCACGTGCAATTCCAATCCCAAGTCGTATCGCTTCAAAAGTTCGTCTCGCGAGACATTCACGGATCCGAGCATACGGTCCGACATACCCGAGTTCAGACACAAGACGAACGTCAAGTTCGACATGAAGTTGCGAAACGGAGATGACTGCACCGTACTGCGCAGCTTCGGATCAAGGGATTTCGTGCACGTCGAAGTGGAGAACCTCGACGTGGTCGCGCGATTTCGCGTGGGAGACGAAGAGTGGTCGGCGAGAAGTCCGGGGAAACTCGAACCGGGTGGATGGCACAGCGTCGGGATCAGCAGGCTGGGTCGATGGATTCAGGTGCGGTTGGACGATGTAGTCGGGGAGGGAATGCAAAAGACAGGCACGGCATCGGCTGCAAA